TCAGTAATGTTTGATTTGAAGATGTAGGATCATTTGGTATTAACATACATTTTCTAATTTTTCGGTATTTTGAAAACATATTGTTTTATTTTTTTTTAAACTTCAACATTTTTAGATGTTTTTAGATTAAATGTGCTATTTGTGTAAAAAGTTTTATTTATTATCAGTAACATGTTATCTATTTAAACGTCACGGGCGTTAGTCAAATGGATTAATGGACAAATTATTAAATGGAATATTTAAAGTTAGCAGAAGATATAAATTTTCTACATGAGATTACCCGTCATAATTAGATGATATTGTGGGATGATTTGGAATATCTCAAAATCCCGAAAAATGGTAGCCACTTCGTTGATTTTCATACAGAAAATATCGGGGTTATATTCAGATTTAGGAGAAAAAAATTATGCGTGTTACCTTATACACTCAAAGTTAATAATATTTCAGGATAGTGCAATTATTAAAAGATTTTGTCCAATAGCATTAAAATATTAATGATCGGAAGTATCTCGAACAATGAATTTTTTGATATTAAGAAACTTCCCGATAAATTCTAAAATTGAACATTTCCTGATATATTTGGATATTTGATATTTTGAATGATAAGTTTCATTCTGATAATTGATTGTGAAATACCCACATGAAATTTTCAATCCGACTTAATTCAAATTTCCTAAAGGGGAATTAGATTTTACGGTTATAAAAAACATATATAAAAAAATAAGAATCCCCCTTCAATAATTATTGACCACGTTTAAAAATAACTTATCCTTGTATCACGAGCAGATAAAGTAATTTTTCTTTCATATATATAATTGCTTATTATTTTTTGATTTTTTTTCGCCTTTTTTAAATTAAACACACCCTGAATTATAATGTCTGAAAAGAAATTATTTACACTTGCTGAACTCGCAGAACATAACCATAAAAAGTCCTTGTATGTCTCTATCAAAGGCAAAGTTTATGATGTGACAAAATTCATTGATGAAGTAAGCTTTCGACTTTGTTATTTTGATATCTTTAAAAAGAAATAGTAAATATTTGTTGTTTATATTTATGTTTTTGTGTATATAATAAACTTTTTATGATATTTGGTAGCATCCTGGTGGAGAAGAAGTACTTCTTGATGAAGGTGGTAGCGATGCAACTGAAGCTTTTGAAGATGTTGGACATTCAGACGAAGCTCATGACCTTTTGAAAACTTACGAAATTGGGGAATTAAAAGATGTGAGAAACTATTCTTATAAGATTTTGAATATGTGTTATTTCTATTATATAGATTAAGATTTTTGCTTATCCTTTTTTTTATGAGTTAGGGACCTCCAATACCATCACAAAAATCTCAACCATCTTACCCGAAACCGCAACCAGCTGAAACGTCCAAGTAAGTTATAAAGTAGTTTACGTTATGTAGGTTAATTCACTATAACTTATTCTATTTTATTTGATTTTATAGCCTTGTTAATTATCTATTGCCCGTTGCAGTAGTCGCGGCTTATGTTGTTTATAAAATTGTTGCATCAGAATAAAAATATTTTATAGATTTATTTATACGAGTAATTTTTTCCATTACATAATAACTTATATATCTATTACAACCAACTTGCTTTTTAAAAATATATCATTTAATTTAGTTGTTTTTTGGCTAGTTTGAGATTTTTTGAGTAAAATCTTTGGTTAACTTTGGAGCTAAATAAAACTTTATTCAAACTAAGAAAATATATATGAATTCAATTTCTTTTACTTCTTTTAAAATATATATATTATATTAAAAATGCAACCGGAAATAATCAGATGAATTCTACAAAATTTTTTTTTTAACCAGAATAAAAATATTATTAATTAAATTATAATTTTATTTAATAATGCACCATACTTTTGTAACTTTATAATATTTATCAATTTAGAACTGCGTGAATTTGCTGTCTTTTGTATTATTACTTACCTAACTAATATAACAATATATATTTTAATAATTCCATTTTTTTTTTAATTCAAGGTAACTACATAAAAAAAAAAAAAAAAATTTTACTTTTTAACATACAAAATTATAACAAGCAACCATAAAAAAAAATTTCAATACAAACTTTCCGGTACAACTATATCCTTTGTAATCTATATTATATAATAACATTTTACAATTAGACAATAAAATTACAAAGAATAAAAGAAAAAAGTGGAAAAATAAAAAATTGAGCGGCGACTTACCAAAACTCTCGTCTGGATCACAGTGACATTTCATTTGTAGTGTCTCCTCAGCCGGACAATGCATAAATGGGTCATGTTTATAACCAATTTCATTAAAAAAATGAATTTGGTGCTTTTTCAAAAATAATGCTGCAGCGATTGAGTGAACCGGCGCATCTCCCCATCTATATCAGCCCCAAAATTTTTACTTAATTTTACACCTAGAAAAAGGACTCGGATATCATCATTAAGCGTACTTACCGTTCATAGAAAAATCCGCCTTTTTTATCAAGAAAATCGAAAAATTTCATATATGCTTCACTTCTCAAAAAATTTAAATCAGCGATTTCAAAGTTTGACCAAAAGTGACATCTAAAAAAAAAAAAAAGTAAAATAAAGTTGAAATTATAAAAAAGTAGAAGCTTAAATAGGTACGCACAAATTATAAGTTTCCCCATTATCATCCGATATAAATTCTATTGAATTGTCTTTTTCAATATATTGAGGATATTTCTTCATAAATTCCTTAACAGAATCCCATAAGGTTGGAATTGTTTTTTGATATTCATACAATGATACAGTAAAAGCTATTTACGAAGTAAAAGAAATTAAACATTTTCATCTACGAGAAGAAAGCAAAACAAATGAAATTATATTTACTGTATTTAATATCATTCTCTTTTAAATACATGAAAGGATCGAAATCAATATCACAAAAAAATTGTACTCCTGGTTCTACTCGCCAATAAAAATCATATTTATCTAATAATTCATGTCTATAGAAAAATCCCGATTCGAATCTAAAAATAATAATAATTTTTATTTTGTCAAAATCGGACATGGAAAAAATGTACCATCTCGGGAAAATCAGTACCTGCACATATGACGGTAAGGTAAACTATCACCATATATCACATCCTCCTCTTTCATCTTTGCCATATTTTTATTAACAAGATCCATATCAATATCTTTTGGTACGCTCCAATGTTCCGTTGGAATTAATCCTTAAATAAATTTTAATATTAGAACAATTCATTCATATAAAAAAAAAAAATTAAATCTTACTTCAAAAATAATTACATTATTAATTGATTAATTTACGTACCATACTCAGTTTTAGCATTAGTAAGAGCACTAGATAATTTTTTAAATTCTTCAGTGAAAGGAACATCATTTAAAAATACATAAGGATAATTATATTTTTTATTGAATCTATCTTCAAGTTGTCTCATTGTCCATCTAAACTCATGTAAATCATGATTTCTTATCAATATAACGAAACAAGCTTTTGCTTTTCCAATTTGTTTTGCGTGCTGTGAAGGTATTAATACTTCGCCATTTATCTCAGGTTCTAATAAGCCTGTCCACGGTTTAGAAAAACTTGAACTGGGATGAAATACTGTTAATACCCAATGGAAGCAAAAAAGTGTTGCTAAAGCTAAAGATATATATTTTAAATTATTACGTTTAAACATTTTTCGAAAATAGAAAATTTCAGGTTTAAAAAATTAAAATTAATATTTTTTATCCCAATAAAATAGGGCGTATGGTAACGATCATACAAACTTATAACCTTATCTAAATTTGTAGTTTTTATTGATGATTTACTCTGAATATAGTTAATGATTTGACATATTATTGGGCAAATTGTAATTATTATAATTATTAGAAAATTGATGTCGTCAGGTCATCTTTATCGGGTTAAGTCATTTGTTATGCAACCAATCAAATAGTTAATTTCGATAATATAAAAAATAAATATTACGTTATATTTATCAATTTATACATAATTAATTAATTCTTTTTATAGTATTTTTTGTAATCAAAAATCTATATCAAAAAATTTTAAGTATAAATATATGTATATAAAATCATATAAGTTTATATAAGTTCATATAATCAAAATAAAAATTATATTTTATAAAGTTATATAAATAAAATGATGTTGCAACTAGTTGTAATTGATAATAAATAAGTATCACAAAGTTGCAACTAAGTTGCTAGGTGAATCTAGAGGTTTTGCAAATTATCTAAATTGTAAAAGGTAAATTTAGCAAAATTATATTAAAAAATCTGCTAAACTCTGAAATTGATAAACTATATCAAAGTTTTAAAAATGCGAAACTATACTAAAATCTTAATAAAAATTAGTGAAAAATAATTTAGATTTTTTTCAAATCTAAAATGAGTTTAAATAAGCAACCTTAGTTATAATTAATTATGATATTAACAAAAATTGAATTGCAACTAAACTATCTCAAAAGTACCAAAAAAATTCTTCAATCACATGATTTTTGAATTGCATTATGCATAATTCTTAAATTCTAATTTAATCTAAATCTAAAAATATGATTATTGTGTGACACATATTATTATCATTATTGTAAAAATTCAAGTTTTTAAAATGCTGAGAAATCGGCATCCTAGTTTAGTTAATAACAACTAAACTTTTATTGTGAGTTACATTGCAATAGCCACAGGTTCAGATTTCAGTCAAGGCATAAAACTAAATGATTTTTATAAGAATTTTATATGTAACTAAATACATGAGCGCATATACTAATATGCATTAGAAACTGGTCAATCGATATATCGATCGATATTGATTATACCTAAATACTAAATTTTGAAGAATATGTGGATGCAAATAAAGCTAGAGATTGACAGAAACTTAACCTTTACTGATAAGTCTGTAATGGATACTGTCTCACATCTTTAAATTCAGAAATCCTTACATAAGTAAGAAAGTGATTAACCAGTAATTAGTAGATTAGGTATCACCTTCAGATAGGCTATAGTGATAATAGACTGCATTGCATACTGCAATACCATTCAATTGAACTATTACTAGAGGTAAAGGCTGAGTTTGATTTTCAGGTGAATTTAACGTTATACTATCTATGTAAAAGATCTGATCCTATGGTCTCAGTAATTATCAATAGGGTAAAACTCTATAAATTAGATTGGTAAAAATAGGGTGTGACAAGCTCTATAGTTGAAGTAAATTCTCTATCCAAAGGTGATAGTACATAGTAGTTTAATGAGACTGTGATAGTGGATTAAACTGTTATAGGTGATCTATACTAGATGACAAACCATTAGGAATATGCTTCTAGTGCTAAATTGCTATATCCCTTTACTGTAGATCAGAGACTTTAAATACTACTTCAAAGGTAATATTTATTTAGTTATATAGGTATTTCTTTAGCAAATCTTTAAGTTATAGCATATTAATAGGAAAAAAAAGTTTTTAAAATGCTTATGAAAATAAAAAATACTATATGCACATATTTTTGAAATTACATGATCACTATATTTTTTAAAAAATTATCTATTTAATAATAATTAAAAAATAATATTAATAAATATTACTTCAAATCCATTAGCTATTTTTAAAACTCATTAAGCTTGGAAATTAAAGTAACATAACAATTTTGTAAATCTAATAATAATTACTAAATAATAGTTAAATGTCTTTTAACAGATATTTAAATATAAAATATTACTATAAAGCTATATTTGTTTTATCATTAAATTCTAAATATTTTACAAAATAATTTTGAAGTAATTGACAAATTTTTCATAATTATAGTATAATATATCTTATCTCTTATTAGTATATACAAATTATATAATGTATAATAAATTATATTAAAATAATTTCTAATAAAAAATTTTTCTTTATAAATATAAAGACATATCAATATATCATAAAATAAAAAAAATTTAAAATATTGTAATTATTATGTGATTCTAAAAATATGTACATATGTGAAGAGTGTAACATAAATGATAAATAATTTTGGATTACATGATTAAAAAATTTTTGAATATTTTTAAAATAATTTTGTAATTAGTTATAATTAATAATAAATAAGTATCGCAGAATTGCATTAGTTACAGTATTATTTTTATATATAATTTACCCTTACTATAATGAATTTTATAGATTAAAAATTAAAATCTACTATAGTAAAGGAATTTACTAATCATATTTAATAAATAAAGATTATTTTTATTTTATTAAAAAACTTATACTTATATGATATAATAATTAAAAAGATAATATAATAATTAAAAAATTAAATAAAAACTTATCATAAAAATAAATTTTCTTTATTTTTTTTTATATTATATTTATATATCAAAATTATTATTTAATTAAATATAATAAATAATATGTAATTTTAGCAATACAGTCATATGCATATGCATATAACTAAAAAATTTTGTATATATCAATCTTTTAAAATGTGAACAAATCTATACAATACAGTTATTAAAAATTTTTTTATAAATATAAATAAAAATTCTACACTAAAATTTTTTTTACGTATAATATACAGTCAAACCTCAATGTACCGATACTCTTTGTACTGATAATTCCCTATACCGATAAATTTTCATTGTCCCATTTCACAATTAATAAAAAAACCTTGTTGTACCGATATCATATATGGTTTTACGATATAACATGTACTGATATTTATCCTTTGTCCCTATATAAGTGATGTATTATAAAATGTACCAATATTTAGATTACACCACATGTAATATTGGCTTTTTCACACAATGCGCCTTGTTGTAAATGCCCAAATTTTTACATATGTCAAATGTTTTGTAACTTTCATTCTTTAAAAATATGTATTTAATAAAAAAGCAAAGATAATTTGCGTTTTACATAAAACATGTATCATGTCTCAACAAGGAAAAAGAAAGTCTATCAAAGAATCCTTCCAACCAAACAAAAGGGTTGTTTTAACACACGTGCAGAAGTACCAACTCTGTTTAGATTTTCAAAAAACGCCATGACTTACTCAAACAGAATTTCTACCTTATATAATATCAAACATAATACCGTTTCTGATATTTTAAAAAATAAAGATAAGTGGCTTCTTGTTAATCCAGATTTAGAAGAGGCAAATATACAAAGAGAAAGAATGTTCATTTTCCTCAAGTTGAAGAGGCTCTTTCATTGTGGATAACAAATGCATTTTTTGCAAATCTTATCATTAATGGTGATATTTTACGTGAAAAAGCTAAATTTTTTGCACAGTAATTTGAAATTACCAAGTTTTCAGCTTCTAATGGATGGTGGATAAATTTAAAAAATGCTACAATTTAAAGGAATACGTTAAGTGGGGTGAAGCAAATAGTGCACCGCTAGAAATATTGGATGAAGAAAGGAATAAATTACGTGAAATTATTAGAAATTACAATTTAAATGATGTATTTAATTGTGATGAAATGGGTAAGCTAAATATTTTTTAAAAAATTTTAAATAATTTATTAATATTTTTTTGTTTATTTTAAGGCTGTATTGAGATCTTGAACCTTCAAAAACACTAGCACAAAATCCTCTTTCTGGAAAGAAAAAATCCAAAAAATGAGTTATACTTCTTCTTACATGCAATGCAGCTGGAATTGAAAAAATAAGACCACTTTTTATCCATGCTTATCAAAATCCCCGGGCATTACATAAAAAAAAAGAAGATTTACCGGTAGATTATTATTGAAATAAACCCTCCTAGATGCAAGTATTTATATGGAACGATTATCTGACAAAATTGGATGCACGAATGCAATTACAAAATCGCAAAATCCTTTTACTTGTTGATAATGCTCCTATACATATTATAGATGAAAATGTAAGTTTAACAAATGTGGCTGTACATTTTTTACCACTGAATACTACAGCATATTTACAGCTTTGTGATGCAAGAATTATTAATTCTTTTAAGGTTAGTGTTACTGTATTTTATTATCAATTTATACGTAGAAAAATTACGAATTTCTTTTAATAATTTAGGCACAGTATCGGAAATTAATTGTTAGAAATAGAATTGAAGCATACGAAATTTCCCAAGATTTAAACAAAGGAGTTACTCCTTTAAACATTTGTGATGCTATTAATTTTAGCAAAGAAGCTTGGAATTCTGTAGATCAACAAACAATTATTAATTGTTGGCAACATACAAGAATTCTTCCACAAGATGAAATTGATGAAGACCAAGAAAATGAAAGTCAAGTTGATCAAGAAGTTTATGATGAAATAGAATTACAAGATCTAATTGATCAACTTCCATTTGATGATCCTTTAAATGCAGAAGAATTCCTTCATATTGATGACTATTTAAAAGATAATGGAGGGTTGACTGATGAAGAAATTGTTTCTATTATCAAATCAAATAATAATGAACCAAAAACTGACCTAAACGAAGAGCCTCCAAAAGTAATTTCAAAAACAGAAGTTCTAAATCATTTGGATAATCTTGTTTTATTTTTTGAATACTCGTTAGATGAAATTTTTATTGATCCAAATAATCAAGTTTATTACGAAAATTAAGATATTTAGTTTTGAGATCATACATCAATAACCTAAAACAAACTACTCTAGATCAATTTATTCAAGTTGTGTAATAAGTATGCTAATAATTTTGTTTCTTAATATATAATACTAAATATACTAATTTTG